AAAAATAAATGAATCAAATACTAGATTTGAATGGCATAGATCTAGTGATAATTTTCCTGTCTTAATATATGTTAATAAAATGTCAAATTCCAGTGTTGACAATTTGAATAGTAAACTCTTTATCGACATTTATAGCTATAGTTGACTTTAGATTTTCATTTTATTAGTTTTTGAATTTGTTTGATTTTACAAAAGGATGTTCATGTATTTGCTTTGGAATGCGAAGTGGGCGATGGACAACGTATTTACCTTGTAACAAGCTATGTTCAGCTTTGGTTTCATTATAAATCCCGGTAAGTAGTTTGTAAAGGACAGCACATTAAAGCTACATTTCCTTCATCTAGTAATGTTTGTGAAATGAATTCAGACTGAATTGGCTTTGATAATTCTCAATCACATAATTAGTTACTATCCTTTTACTATTAGAATTGAATTCTGGATCTTCCTTGTCACAACATTGAATTATCTCACCAGGTGCTGGGAGAAGAAAGTGTGTGTGTGTGTGTGTGTGTGTGTGTGTGTGTGTAGGTTCTGTACTACATGTGCCCCATGATGACACAATTCCGTCATCATTTTTCCTTGTTCAGATTACTACAAACTTTATATTTGTGTAGGAAACCATCTATACTTCATTTAGCACAAGTTATCCTTTCTTTATCAAGTCAGCATCTATTACTATTTTTAAAAGTTATTTTTTATTGATTTCAGAGGGAGAGAGAGAGAGAGATATAGAAACGTCAATGATAAAATCATCAATCGGCTGTCTCCTGCACTCCCCCCACTGGGGATTGAGCCTGCAACCCAGGCTTTTATATATATAGGTAGTTATATGTAATTAAAACAGCTAATATGGTATCTTGACATATAAGATCAAGTTCTGTGATTTAAAAGGTATAAGATTCAAACCTAACAATCATGAACTATTAAATTTAGAAAACATCTCTTACACTGCTATGAAGTCATTCCTGAAAATGCTGTTTGCAAGCTCTATTTTGATCTGGAATTTAACAAACTTGCCAATCCTGGAGCTGATGGAAAAAAGATGGTTGCATTACTCATTGAGGTAATTTACAGACTCAGGTTTTTTTTCCTTATATCCATCTGTCTCTCTTTATTTTTATTCATTAAGCGACTCTAGCCTATGTAATATATAGGGTGTCTCCCAAAAAATATATGCACACTCTAACAGCTGATAACTAACTTAATTTTCACTCATTTTCAGGTTTAACTGATTTGAAATAATGAGTGAAGCCAGACTAAGCTTTGAACAAAGAAAATTTATTCTATAGGGCCACTAGACATTTTTTTTATGGGGATACATAGAAGATAAAGTTTACGGTACAAAACCTGGCAACAGCCGATGAATTGAAGATGCACAAATACCAAACAAAATTATTTTTGATGTTTATGATTCCATTGCTTCATGTTATCAGCAATGCCTGGACCAGAATAGTCATCAGTTTGAAAACAGGCATTGACAAAAAAATTATTCATTTCTATACATTCTTTTAAAGTTTTTAAATGAACTGTATGTTAATAAACACTGATTTTATAATCATTCCAAGTGTATACTTTATTTTTTTATTGATTTCAGAGGGAAGGATGAGGGAGAGAGAGATAGAAACATCCATGATGAGAGAGAATCATGTATCGGTTGCCTCCTGCAAGTCCCCCACTGGGAATCGAGCCCACAACCCTTGACCGGAATCGAACCTGGGACCTTTCAGTTCGCAGGCCGACGCTCTATCCACTGAGCCAAACCGGCTAGGGCTGTATACTTTTTTTTAGGACACCCTGTGTAGGTTCCATGTTTCTCCTCCTGTTTCTTGCTACTCTTCCATTTATCTCTTAATATTGCTTATATTGCTTCTCTGAGTAAACTTCTAAAAAGGAGGAAGTTCATATATTTTTTAACATTACTATATCTAGTAAAAAAAAAAAGCATTGAGAACGAAGTGGCAGTTGAGGAATTTTCTGGATTTTTAAAAAAATTCTCTGGCTTACATTATAAGTAGCTGGCTCTGGTAAAGATGAGGCAAAGTGAGAATTTACTGAAGAGGGTAGGATCAGAGAGCGAGGGGGGTGTGTATGTGCTATAATAATGCCAAAACAGCATTAATAAATACAATTTGTTGCACGACTCTTAGGTAGCTGGGTGCTTGGCAGTTTACAAACATTTTAACCCTGCGTGTTTTAGTAACTGTGTTTAGCAAATGAGAAGACGGCGGCTTCAGAAGCGACTGGTCCTATGGCTACATGGCTAATGCTTGGAACAGTTCTGCGTGCCAGGCACTGCACTAACTACTTACCCTCGTTTTCTCTTTTCCTCCTTACGACAGTCCGGAAGTTAGGGTCTAGTATATCCCATTTTGCAGTTGAGGAATGTAAGGTTTGCACTTGACCAAAATCACAGAGCTGTTAAGTGGCAAAGCCAGAACTCAAACCTGGATCTTTCCGAGTCCGAGTCTTGTGCTCCTGACCCAAGCTGTTGCCTCACTATAAAGCATCACGGCCTTCAGTCAGCGTCTTCTAGCCTCAGAGTCTGTGTTCTTAGAGGTGGATTTGGGCTCAATGTGCTTGAGGAACTTTCTGGAAACTAAAATGATAACAGGATTAGTGACTTTTTAACTCATAGATGATATTTAAAGAGATGCTTAAAAAGAAATATTTTTATTGTGATTTTAAAGGAGATTAATGTATAAGTTAAATTATTCAACTTCTAGGAGGACTTTAATCCTGAGAGTCTATGAATTTGTAAATATAAACATGTATAATTTAAAAATATATAATTTAATACATAAGTAATTTGGTAATATTGTATAATATATTCTGATAGTGAATCAAAATAAAAAGTGAGTAAAAAAAATAATGAATTATATTTGTACCAAGATATTTTAATTTTGCTCATGAAAAACGTTTAAAACATTTAAAAATATTTATATGTTTCTTGTGTTTTTAGCATGTTTGTAAAGCACTTCAAGAGTTATACAGAGTTAACTGTTCAGCTGAAGATGTTTTAAACTTAGATTCTAGCACTGACGAGAAATTTAGCCGCCATTTAATATTTCAACTCCATGATGTGGCATTTAAAGATAACATTCATGTCGGTAAATATACTGTTTTTTATTTTATATTTATTTGTTTATATATTTGTATTGATTTTAGAGAGGAAGGGAGAGGGAGAGAGATATATGATGATGAGAGAGAATCATTGATCGGCTGCCTCCTGCACACCTCCTACTGGGGATCGAGCCTGCAACTTGAGCATGTGCCCTAACTGGGAATTGAACCATGAGCTCCTGGTTCATAGGTGATGTTCAACCACTGAGCAACACTGGCCAGCCAGTCAAGTATACTATTTTTTTAAGTTATGGAGCAATAGTAAAAGGTCATATTTCCCCTTTTTTCTGAAGTTATGTAAGTATTTATCAGTTTTTATGGGTGTTAACCTATCCTAAAAAAATGAAACATGATTTTTCATGTTTTTAGGCTTTGCCTTTAATTCTAGACCTGTCTTCCTTTTCTTGACACATTTTAGACACATTAGCCTACCCAGGCTATTCTTGGTATTGGTGCCTTTGGGTGTAGATACTGGGATGGCCATTCATGCCCTGGTACTGGTTTCTGCTGCAACAGGAGTCATGCAGAAGTTTTCTGGTTGATACATGAGAGTCCTAATTCAGGTCTGACCCATGAGGCCTCAGATCTGGATTTCTGATCTTCGCTTCCGCCGTAGTTTTTAGTGCCTGAGAACTGGGGCTTGGTTTCCAGGTTACATCTCGAAGTCTGGTTTATTGCTCCAGACCACACCTTAGGGTTCATGAGGAATCTAGATGTATAAACCTGAAAATGTAACCAGCGTACTTGTTTCAGGATTGTAAACCAGAAATAGAGTCCCAGGTATAAAATGAAGTCAGTCCAAAGGGGAACAAGTGGGCAGAATGGGGACACAGAAAACCAAGGTCTAAATAGAAGTCACAGTCCTGAGTGTTTATCGGACAGGGCAGAGCAGGCAGGTGTTCCTGAGTTCAAACAGCAGACCATTCACTGAAGTTCAAGGAACTGGTGACCCATTTCAGATGGACAAGTGCCTGACAATTTTCAGGGTAAAAGACATGAACACAATCACATAAGCACTGGAATGAAGTCAGGACCTAGTGTACTGTGTGCCCAGGGCTCCTTATTCTCCTGTGTTGTTAGCTTAGTTGCACAGTGTTCTCTGCTCTCTCATTCCTCAGGTGGTAGTAACTGTAGAGTCCATCCTGTCCCCTGTTAACCTTGATGGTCATTCACTGTCATGGCTCCAGTTTCCATCTCTGTGTTGATGACTCTCAAAACTTTTTCTTCAGTCAAGATTATTGTTTTGACACCATACTCCTATGGTCAGCTTCAAACTCCACGTGACCGAACACCTCACCTTTCCCCTAAAACTTGCTGTTTCTCCTGTGGTATGTATATCGGCGAGTGGTGTCACCATCCATCCAATTACCCAAGTAGCAGTGGTGTCATCTTTGACCTCTAGATGCGTTCCAGCTAGCATCCTGTTCAGTCCTGTTCAGTCAGCTAGCCACAGTGATCTGTTTATGCCACTGCAGTGCCTCATCCCTTGAAGGATAATACGCTGCCTCCGGAAAAAGCCCCCGTCTTCGTTTGCACAGTGAGACCCCTGTGCTTTAGCCTCCTCTCTGATACCTGGCTCTTCTCGCTCTCCTGGGCTCCCGCTGGGCCATGTTTTCTCCAGTCCCGGGGCCTCCGCAGTCTCTGATGCTGCTGTCTGAGTGGGCCTGCCTCCAGCCTGGTGTGTCAAGACTCAGCGTCGAAATCCTCACCCGAGAAGCCGTTTCTGTGGAGCCCTAAGACTTAGGCTCCTGTTCCTCTGGTCGCAGGACTGCCCAGCGCTTGTTGCGTCAGAGCAATCACCACTTCCTGAGGCAGTTTCCTGGTGGTTTTGTTTTTGTCTATTCCACCTAATGTTACTTGAGGGCAGGGATAGTGTTCACTCTTGTATTTTTAGAGCTTGTTACATAATAATATCTTTATCAATAACAATAATGGGATAGTAGCAGAAGCAACAATAATAAGTACTAACAGGCATTTAGTAAACTTGTTGAATGGATGACAATATGAAGTGGGCTCTGCTGTCAGGCATGGAGAGAGTCCTAAGAAGATATTTCCTTGATGCCTGTTTGCTCTTCATAGTCGGCTCTGACTCTGCCACAGGCTAAATTGAGAGGTGTTGCTAGGGAAGAAGGGAGAACAGAAGTGTGACATGATTAGCAGTCTCTACTGCATGTCTCTTCTGAAAGCAGGTGCATTCAAGCTGGCTTTAAAAATGTCAGCCTGTGGACGAAGGGAAGAAGGGCTTTGCTGTCCGACAGCATAAGCAGCGGGGTAGAGATGGGCATCTGTGCCTGGTTTGTCCAGTGTGGCTGGAGAGGCCTAATCAGACCACAGGGTTCTCTCCTGTGTAGTGACGGACCGCCAGCACCAGGGATGCAGGGATTGTGGATCAGTCCACATCTCGCTTCAGTTCCCTCCTCCAGTGTTATCTCTTGGTGACATCTCTAGTTCCTGTTGTTAGCTTTTCAGAAAGGGGAATTAGGGTAATGTAAGAGATCACAAAATGCTCACAACATGTATACATTGGATCTCTTGCCTGCGTGCCATAGGACCTTGAAATTTCTGTGATTGATACGTTCTTTTGAGTTATTTCCAGCCATAAAATTGTCCCTGTATGAATGATAAGGTGAGGTGATAATATTGGGGAAGGGAAGTCTAAAGCAGAGTAGTTTCCTGGGATCCCGTGTTAGTATTTATATCAGTTACACTGTCACTTCCTGGCCCTGTTAGCTCCCTGCCAAAGGTCAAAGGTCTGCAGGGCCTCCTGAGCGCTGCCCTTGTACCTGGTTCTTAGCCATGGCTCCACCGCTCTTAGTGCTGCTCACTGTCAGGGGGATGTCATTCTGCATTTCCAGAAAAATTAACTCTGTCCTTTTATATTTGCACTAGAGGCCCAGTGCACAAATTCGTGCATGGGTGGGGTCCGGCTGGCCAGGCCTCAATCAGTGGATCAGGGCCAGGCCTGTTGGGAGGAGGAAACGGCGGGAGGTTGGCCAGCCGGCCCGCCCTGATCGGGGCAGATCAGGCCCTGGCCGGCTCAGGGGAGGGGCCTCAGGCGGTTGGCTGGCAGGCCCCGCTCCCGATTGGGGGTGGGGGGACCAATTGGAGGTGGGGCCAGCTGTGGGGAGGGGCCTGTGGGGGAGTTGGCCAGCTGCCCTACCCTCAAACAGGGTGGGAGAGGCCGATCAGGGGCAGTGCCGGCTGGGGGAGGGGCAGTAGGGGTGTTGGCTGGCTGGCCCCACCCCCCAATCGGGCTCCTTCGCTGGCCGCAGTGGGCGTCATAGCAATCGGTCGCTCCAGTCATTATGGCGTTCCAGTCGCTGGCTTTTTATATATATAGACTAGAGGCCTGGTGCATGAAAATTCATGCATTGGAGGGAGGGTCTCTCAGCCCGGCCTGCCCCCTCTCACAGTCTGGGAGCCCTCGGGCGGGAGGGGATTGGGCTATCAGGGGAAGGCGACGCCCCAATCACACCTCTGCTGCTGCCACTGCTGGCAGCACAAGCCTCGGCCGGCCCTGGTTACCTGGGCCTCGGGTGGCCCTGGGTGGCTGAGGGGTTGAGGGGACTGGGGTACTCTGGAGGCAGGCACGCAGAGTGGCTGGGCCTGCCACGCGCCTGCCGCCCCGATGGGGCTGAGGGGACTGGGCCCCGCCATCTTGTGGCTGTGGGTGCCGTCATCTTTGAGGGCGTGGCAGTCAATTAGCCTATTCCCTCTTTATTAGATAGGATAGATTGCTCTGTTGAACTTTGACATATCATGCTTTCTCCTCACTCAGTGTTTACCTAATCTCCCCTAATCCAGAAATAATCATGTCTATTTATGATTGCAAGGATCAAATGCTTTTGCTTTCATTTTTAATGTTTAGTGTTTATAAGAAAGTGGATTTGTTTCTTTGAGTAGGGAGGTAATTAAGTCTAATTTGGAGAAAGATTTTTTTAATTTAAAGCATGTATATCTTATATAACTTAAGGTTCACGCTATCTGGTAACTAAAGTGACAAACTCAGACTATACCAGTTTTAAAGATTAAAATTAAAAAATGTTTACAGTATTGTATTCTCTAATCTAATTTACATGAAGCAGCTTTACCAAATTACTTGATTTTATGGTATAATAAATAATAAATGACAATTTAAAGAAGTTCCAGCTTCAGACGGACGAATCTCAGAGGGGCAGGGGGGCAGGGGGGGAGATTAACTGGGGAATTTATATACATGTATATAGTCCATGGACACAGACAATAGTGAAGGCTTAAGGGGGGGAGCGGGGTTGAGGGGGTCAATGGGGAAAAAAGGGGGGGACATCTGTAATATGTTCAACAATAAAGAAATTTTTTTAAAAAGTTCCAGCTTGTCATATTATCTTTCTTGGTACAGATAGTACCGCTGATATTTAGAGCTCTTAGACTAAACGTGGAAATATACTGAATGTATTTAAGTGTTTTAGTTCTGGACTTTGGTTCTGAGGCCACGATCATCAATGGCCAGATACAGGGAGAGGCGGGAGAGCATCAGGGGGCTGCTGGGTGCGTGTCGGCGTCCTCGGGCCTGCTGTGCAGGGAACCGGGCTGATGCCCGGCCCGGGAGGGGATGGCAGCTGCCAGTGTTTCTGTGCATGACCCTGGTGGCACCACTTACTCATAGAAACTCTTCATTCTTTTGGGGGGACAAGATTTCATTCTTTTTGAAAAGAAAAAAAAACTCCCATTCTTTAATCATTGATTGTGAAGATACATTTTACTCAATTTGTATTAATAAAAGTTGAGTGTTTTGGTGAACATAGGCTCAGTCCTGTATTGGCTACATTGACACATCTCACCTTAACCTTCTCCTGTAAGATGGTTTTTACAAGTGACACCAGGTGCCGGGTCAAAGGGACTGAAAAAGTTCAAGATTTTTAAAAAAGAAGAAGAAGAAAAGTTCCAGATTACACAAGAGGAAGAAAGTAACAGGAGAGGCATGTTCCAGTTTGTAGTAACAACTCAGTGCTAAAACCAAAAGTAAAAAAGGAGCCTAGAGTGTAAGAGTGGGTAGATTTGGGCCTAGATCTTAAGTTACAGTTTGTGAAAAAGAAGAATTATATTCATCATAACTTTTTTTCTTTAGGTAATTTTGTGAGAAAGATTTTGCAGCCTGCTTTTCATTTGATTGCCAGTGGAGATGATGAAGATGATGGTGGGATTCCAGGGACAACCAGCCAAGCATTTTCCCATTTTTCTGAACCACCAATTAAACAAGGAATTTCCTTCCGTGAAATGTCCACAGATGAGGAGAGAGGAGAGAGCTGGACGTTGACTTCTAAAGCCCCGGAGAGGCTGGGGTCCGCCGAGCGGAGCGGCCCTGACCTTTCCTTCTTAGTTGTGAAGGATCCTGCAGGGAAAAAGCGTCTTTTTGTCGATCTAGGTGAGCACCATCAACAGCTCTGTGGGACTGTCCTGTGCACTTCTGTCCGTGCCTACTGCCACCTTAGGGTCCTTGCTGCCACCACTGTTCCCACAGGGAACGCGGGGTCACCAGCAGAATGTAGTCAGGAGCTCGGGTTGCTGTCAGAGATCTCAGAGAGTCCCTGTGGGACGGAAGCGCCAGGCTTAATGG